AATGGCTTAATTCCCTGATGGCCTTAGTCTCCATTGAGGGAAACATTGTTAAGCAATTTAAGCCATGGTTTGGGGCCACTTGGCAATCTATGGGGAGGGGCATGACTGCCACGGCCTCTTGCCAATCATAGGCATGGGGAGGGCCTGCTGACCTCAGCCTGAGAAAATGATGGATGGCCTCAGGATCTGCCCACAAAATTAGCTAGCCACATTCTCGATGTCAGTAGACCCTTACCTATTTGCAATGGACCCTTGTAGAACATTGTGTAAGGACCCAGTATGAAAGTTTCCAGGAACCACAGGGATTCTTGAGGGATTAACACACTTTACTGGCTAAAGAGTTCCACTGCCTTGAAAACCAGATTCTCAACTTTATCCCAAACTTTGCTTGGGATATTCAACACATGGAGAAATAAAGCCTATTTCATTGTGATGTCCATGGATGTCACCTGTCCAACTGAGAAGCATCTCTGGCCCAATTTGGCCGTTTTCTTGAGACCATCAGCTCCTTTATCTCTTTTACTTATCCCAGCAATACTGCAGAGTTTGACAAATGGTGTTTGATACTTCACCACCCAAAGCAGTAGCGAGTTAGGTGTGTCCAGAAAAGTATAACAGTTTTAGTGGATTTTATTTCCTAAGCCTACTAAAGACAATTTTTCTTGCACTGCAAAGATAATGAAAGATTCTGCATTTGTGAGTATAAAACCGTTCAAAGTCATCTGGGTTCATCAATTCCCCTTCACACATATTTAGAGCTGTTTCTCAGGCTGGGCATAGTCCTTTAGCTGGTTCCAGGATTCCCTAATTAAACAGGGAGAGCTAGCTAATCTTGCAGGTACCATCATATTCAGAACAAAGAGTCTGTAAAATCTGCCCTGCAAGGCTGTCATCTCAATGCCCAGGGTCAGTGTAATATTGAACAGGATTTCCTAGAAACTCTGAAATAATCTATTTTTATTGCAGAGATGGGCAACAGTGCCACTTCCTTTTCATTTGGCATGGTCCTCTAAAGGAAGAGTGGGGGGGGGCAGGGGAGAGGATGGCTTACAATGCTATCTTTGAGGTTTTGTTCTCATGGCAAGAGTGAAATCAGCAAGTAATAATGCGACAATGATGGAAAGGAAGAGCCTATTTCTTCCTCAAAGTGCAGTACAAAGGGGTGGTATGGAACTGATATTTTAGTCTTCTTGAACCCAGAAACACTGCTGGTGGGAGAATATGGATAATTCTGTCCAATGCTCAGCATACCATGGGTACTGATATTGGAATCTGCATTTGGTCTCACTCCAGTTGTTTAGGATAGGAGTTAGCAACCATTTGGCACTGTAGGCTGGAACTTGTGGCCTGCGGCAGGAGGCTGGGTTACAATCTCCACCTCTGGGAGGGCTCAAGCTGCCAGAACTTACCGTCACTGTAAATACCTAGCCCCTCTGCAGCAAGGCAAGCACAGACACAAGAGAGTAGTGAAAATAGCTGTAGAGAAAGGTGTCACAGAGCAGACAGGCAGCTTAATGTAGCTGTGTGACACCCACGGCCATGCTGAACCTTCCCAGGCCAGATCCAGCCCACGGGCTAAAGGGCTTAGAAACTGTCTTAGTGTAGCTGTTCAAGAGATTTTTTGCCACTTAGGCAAATTGCCAGCTGAATTTCATGTTTCCAGCTTGGACTTCCTTTTCATCTTATGGAATTATACATAAACTCAGCCAGACCAACGTAAGCTGGTGGTCTTGTTTATAACTAGGGATAAGCGCTGGCTGTATTGCTTGAGGTGTAAAAACAGCTGACTTGGGAGATTTAAGTAGGTAGTACTGTGGCTGTCAAGGCTGAGATCGTTGGAATTTAAGATAAAGCAGTCAGTGCAGAGGCTTTGAACACCACAGCCTTCACACCTCTTGACCTATTGAATGCCACTGGTGTCATTTCTGTTCTCTTTAATTTTTTTTCCCAAGTGGCAGGTCCTAATGAGAAGTGAAAAAGAGCATTAGACAATTATGATTTCATTTGTCCTTGCTCTGGTCATAGGTCTGGCTCCAAAGTGACCTGACTTGCCTGCTTTAGCAGAAGCAACTGGACTGAGATGAGCTGATCATCCCTAGACATGTGGGTCCAGGAACAGGATCCTAAGTAGAAACATCTTTGGCCGACTCTGCCTTTAATGGAATCAGCACATGGTAGGACAATTTGGACTTCACCTCACTACAGTGGGGAGATTACAATAATGTCACTGCCCTCCAAGTCCTTTGAAGAAAATTATAAAGAGAAATGTCTTAAACTGAAAAAGTCAAAAACAAACTCTTAAGTTATCTGATGAGCAGTAGGTTAGACCCTGATGCTAAATTTTGTCTCTCATGGCAGGCAGTAAGCATACCAAAGAAGGCTCAAAGCTGGATCTGTCCTTTATGCCCTTTCATAGGAGCACAAAGAGGCACAAGCCACACACATAAACCTATTAAAAAATAAAAATCCAGTATTACACAAGTGTAGCAGGTTCCACGCTGACAGAGACTTGAAAAGCCTAAACTGGCGTACATAAACCCACGGTTTGACCATAGTGTTGTATGGTAGTTGGGGCCAACCTTTTTGGCAAGGAGGCTATGAATGAGCCATGTACTCTCCAAGTACCACTCCAATCTCCTTCCTCTCTTTGACCAACTGTTCTGCTTTCTGCTTCCTGCCCTGTGCTCCCTGCCTAATCTTCTGCTCTGTTTTCTGCTCCTGCCTTTGCTGCTGCTGTGCTGCCTACTCCCTCCCTGATCTGTTGTGCGCCACACGAAGAGGCTGCCCATGCCATTTGTGACACACACACTGCAGGGTGGCCACCCCTGTTGTATAGGAAAATTCCATTAATTTGACTTTAGAAAGTACATTTCTGCAGACATGCAATTAACAAAAAAGAATAACATATAGAAAACTTAAAAAAAAAAATAGATCTTGCACAACTAACTACAAGTGGTTATATATTTTCAATACAATAAACAAACAGTTGAGGAAAGAGGATGTATACTTGTAAATCAGTATCTTCTTTACATAACATTTTTAATTCTAAATTTAATTTAATTTTTAATTTAAAAACGATAAAAGTCTTTAAAAAAAATTTACACAAATAAAGTAAGTCATATTTACTCAAATAACTTTACTGTAAATATATTTTTCTTAAGTGGTAACAACAGCTTGACATTTGCTTTCTAAGACACTGCCATCTAGTGAATTCAAAATTACCAAATTTAAACTTAACGTATATGTAGTCAAACTAGAAGTCACACACAACTTTCCTACTCTTCTTCTTCTTCTTTTTTTTTTTAGCATGGACTAAGTTGTCATATTTACGCCAATTTATGATGAGGGGCTTTTCCCCCCAATTCACCATGAGTGGAAAAAAAACTCGTCTTAAAGTTGAGTATAAGTGGCGGGTGCAGTGGCTGCGGTTCTGACTTTCAACTCAAGCCCAGAGTCAAAGTTGGAGTTGGAGCTACAGTTAAAGCTCCCTTCCCCCACCAACTGTGTCATACAGCCTCTGCTCTCCCCTCCATCCCTCTCACCACCATTTACCTTCCCTTTGCTCTGGCCCAAAGCAGGGAGCATAGAGCTTAGCCAGGGCCCAGAACAGGCAGCACAGACCTCTGGCCCTAGCATAGCCACATAGTAGGAGCAGCAGTGGCAGCTCTGGCCCAGCTCTGGGGACGGACTGAAGCTGCCACTACTGCAACAACTGCTGCAGGGTCTATGCTCCCTGGCCCAAGCTTGAGCAGGGCCCCAGCAAGAGCCAGACTTGCAGCAGGCACCACGGGAGAAGCAGGAATCAGTGGGCAAAGGCAGCAGGCAGGCACCAGGTAGAGTAGATGGGAAGAGCACAAGCTGGGGGGGGAGTGAGAAAGTGGCAGGGAGTACAGGCACAAAGGGGGCAGACACGGGGCATACAGGCACTGGGAGGGGAGCAGACAGACAGGGGAACAGGTGGTGGGGAGGACAGGCAGGGGGACAGCATGGTCAGGGCATCAAGCCATCTGACTCCCCTGCTGCCTACCCTACTACCACCTGCCTTCCTGCTTCCATTTGCCCTGGTGCAGTAGTAGGGGGGAAAAATTCAAAATGACCATCAAATAATTAGATTTGAGACCTGGAAAATTATAACAAATGTATACATTATCCATGTCTAAAGTATAATTATTGGAGGGTCATCTTAAATTTAGGGTTGTCTTGGATTTGGGTAAATATGGTACTTTCGTTTAATCCAGAGGAAGCAGCAATGTAATTTTATGAGTACACAAAAATGCATGAATACAATCCATTTTCCTACTCACTGTGTTCAAACTCCTATAAGAGGTGGGTGATTGTTACAGTTGTCACTTCCATAACACCAAAATTCACCATAACACCTACTTCGCAGTTAGGGCGGCTAGGAGCTGGAACCAACTTCCAAGGGAGGTGGTGCTGGCCCCTACCCTGGGGATCTTTAAGAAGAGGCTGGATACTTACCTGGCTGGACTCATCTGAGTCCCATTTTTGTTTTTAGGGTTTTTTTGTTTTTTTTTGTTTTGTTTTTTTGTTGTTGTTGTTTGTTTGGTTTTTTTGGGGGGGGTTGTTCTCCCGCCCTGGCGGGGGGTCGGGCTAGAAGATCTATTAGGTCCCTTCCGACCCTAAAACTATGAAACTATGAAAATTAGATGTTTTACAGAATGCTAAGAGCCTTTTTTACTGCACAAAATGCTCAGTATAAGCCTAAATCTTGCAGTGAAATAAATCGGAGTATGAGAAAAACTGGAGTTTTAGCTTAACTTAGTTTTATTTTAAAATAAAGAAACTAAAAAAAGTTAAAATGTGTTTCCCTCAATGCTCCTAATTCTCTTTTTCATGGTGAGATAAGAATTAGTCTGGATTAGAAAAAGGTTTAATTTAGATGTGAGATATTTCATATTTGTTATCCAGAATATTACAACTGAGGAACAAGAGTCTTTCTTAATAGTTAGCATGCATTTAATATCACTAAAGAAACTTACCCTGACAACATCTCAAATATCAGAATCCCCAGAGCCCACCAATCCACTGCTCTTCCATGACCTTTACTCTGAATGACTTCTGGTGCTAAGTATTCTGGTGTGCCACAGAGAGTCCACGTCCTAAAAAAATAAGCAAAAAAACCCCCACAAAACCAGAGCCAAGATTATTTTTTATTCTTTAAAAGTACTGGACTCAACTTTTAAAAGAATATTATAAACAAACAAACAAACCAACCAACCATTTGGAAGCGGTAAAGGTCACAGCTCTAAACATATATGCTACTCATAGCAAGACTCATCTAACCTCCTGTAACGAAGGCACAAGGGAGTAAAAGGGCTCTTCCAGAATCACACAAAAACTAGGGACAATTCTGGAAAGAGACCAGACTTCTTGTGCAGTGCTCTTTTTGCTAAGCTCTACTGCCTTGGATATCCTTCTGACAAATTGTCCAAAAATCAATAGATGTCCACAACCCTTTTATAAGATACCTTTTTCGAGTTTTCAAATAAAGAATAAGACCTATTCTTTAACTTTCTGGTTTGACTCATGGCTCATCTACTATTTTTTTCAGTATGTAGCAAAAATGTATTTCATTGCTAACATTTTGAAATGTACCTTTACAACCTTGTAAATATAAGAGACAGAAATGTAAGTAATGAATGTTAGTCAAGTGATAATTTGGCTGTAAATGGTAAGTACAATATACTGGATCCACTGATGTAATGAACTAGGAATCCAAACTGTTCTCCATGGACAGAAATATCTGTGCTAAAAATAACTTTCAGAATTTGACTGGCACACTATTTCTTTTATAGCATGAAAATAACATGTTTTCCTTGTTTTCCCTTTTCAAAAGTTAAACTTGTCTGAAATTATGCAGGCAAAAGAGAAAGAAAGAAATTTCTGGAGCTGGAGTAGAAATTGGCAGGTACATATCGCAAGAATTATCTTCTTGTTAATTTCAATTAAACCATTCCTAGCAGAAATGAAAAAAAATCAGTTTATAAGTGATTATTCCACTATTATCCTTGGATACGCTAAAACAAGTATCACATTTTCAAGAAGTATTTTGATTTGTTTTCTCTACTGCTTGACTAAAATAGGGAATATTGTAGATCTGAAAAGAAATAAGGGCTCAAACAAAATTGTTTTAACAATAGACAAAACTTTCACTTTTCATTTGCTTGCTGTCCACTTACATCCCCTTCTCTCCCTCTGCTGCCCGCCCCCTCCCTGATCCCCACCAACCAAGATGGAATAAACCCCTCTATTCCTTTTACCAACTGAAAAATCAGATCCTCAAAATTCAGATCCTGGTCTCCCAAGACTACCAATATATTTGTGGAGAGATTAAAAACAACACTATAGACGCAACTGAAAACCCTGGATGTATCTTAAAAACAAAACAACAAAAATGTGTATTTTAGGAGTCAGACCTGAGATATTCATTTAAAATGTCAGGTCTGACTCCTAACATACACTTTTCCCCCAATTTTTTTTGTTTTTTCCTTCTAAAGGATTGTACTGAAACAATTTCTTAAAAGAAAAAAGGAAGGAAAATACCCTCTATTGTCATGACTTAAATGTATTCATTCATATTGTTTGAGAGAGTGAAAGCTAAATATATTGTGCTCCAAGAAAATTGTTAGAATATATTTTCAATAACAGGCCACACATCTAGTGTTTACTGAGATTAATTATTATCCAAAAGATTTTTTTTTTTACCATATACAACTGGTGGTTTCACTTTAACACTAGGAAAGTGTCATATCATATTTTCTAATCCAGTACACACAAACATATAACCAGGCTCAACACTGCTTTACACATTAGTGCCATCTAGCAGTTGTCTGGACAATAACAAGAGTGCACTAGAATGTATTAAATAAATGTTAAATTAAGATTTTATACTAATTTGCCAAGTGCTGAAAATACTAGAAGACATTCCTAACTCTATTTGTGAACTTCTAGATACAAAACAATGCCTGCAACTCATGAGAGACTAGAATCTCTTGGATTCTGCCCTTCAAAATTATTAGTAGTAAGATTTTATTTAAATATAGAAAGCTCTGACTAACTTTTCAGCCCACCTTGCATTACATAAATGGATATTTTACTGAAAACGCTAAAATTGAAATGATCTGTTTTCATAAATACCAAGCACTTAGTAATGGTTAAAATAATTTCTAACAGGAAAAGGAAAGTTGTAACCAAGAAAGATTATTACATTATGGAGTCCATGGTCAAACTTGACTATCACATTTAATTATTACCCAGCAGGCCATCTGTTCCTTCTGCCAATTTTACTGCAAACCTTTTGTGTTTGCAAATTGCTTACAAAGGTTTGGAGGGGGCATGTCAGTTCTGTCATACTGTGTATGACATGTTCCTCACATGGTATCCTTCTATGTTTACTTGCTCTTTCTCTTTTTCAGAATGTATAAAAAAAGGAATCAGTTTCAAGCTTTAGGAACAGGAGCAATGTTATAATTTATGTAAAAAATTGCTTTCATATTTTAATTTCACCACCTTGGTCAACTTTATTTTCCCAAACTTCCTGTAGAGTAGCCCTAAAGCAGGGAAGGAAAAAAAGGCGATTCACCTTTTGAAATTCTGGAAGATTTTAATGTCTGAAGTTTACAAGGCAGGAGTTAAGGTAACTGAAAGATGAGGAAAATGTACCATGTTGGATTATAGATAGGTTTTTTAAACATATATACTCTTTATCAAATATAAATCAGAATGCGTTTTGGTCTGCTTTTCCAACTAATATTTATTTAACTATCTGTAAATAAGTCAAAATATTAGACAGCTTAACGTATTTTAGGATTTTATATTGCCACCCATTGGAACAGCATCTGACCACTTACTACATAATACCCCACTGGCAACAATTAAATCCCTAGTAAATGTCTTTGAGTCTGCCCCTCCTGTATCAGCAATAAGGAGAGAAACCTGTAATTCTTTCATGGATTTTCTTTGTAGGGAAGAGGTAATTTAATGCATTAAAATATTTAAGAATTCTAATGCCATTTAACATTTTTTGTCATGGCATAGATTTTTGGGTAGACTGTTGTATCAACATTATCAATATTATTCTTGAAAAGGTCTCAGTGGTTCACAAAGGGTGGTTTTCCCTGGATTTTTCTGGCTTATCAACCTACATCAAAACTTACCTTTGACACAACTCTGCTGTATCTAATATAGTGCTTGCATTTCCAACAGAGAAACACATTTGTTAAGTGTCCAATACATTTGCTAAATACAAAAGGAGCTTATCTAAACAATACTGTGTAGACATCTTGAAAAATATCTAAACAACATTATACTACTGTTAACAGTTTCAAAAAGTATGGGTATTAAAATATTTTTGAGTACTGTTTAAAAAAAGACAAAAAAACCCCACAACTTCTATGACAGGGGCAGGCAACTATTTGGGGCGGAGGGACGCTTACTGAGTTTTGGTAAGCCATCAAGGGCCGCATAACAGGCAGCCCAGGGCAGATAAATATTAATTTTCTAAATTTTTTAGGGGCCCCGCAGGCTGGATAGAATGGCCTGGCGGGGTGCATCTGGCCCCTGGGCCACATTTTGCCCATCCCTGTTGTATGAGCTATTTTAATTTTGTGAAAAACATACAAGCTTGAACATTAAAGTTTCCTGTAAGGATGGAGGCCTTACCATACCAACCTGAAACACATTTAAGTAAAGGCATGGACTTTCTCTACCTTTGAGTTACATTGTCTATATATGTCTATATATTAGTGGTGTGTCATTTAAATCACAGAAAAATGTGGAGTTGCGGTTACTTCTTTTTATCAAAAATCGGGGATTTTATTTTATTTTTTTGTAATCAGAGAAGCAGGATCTCTGCCTATCACTGAGAACAGCTTCCATCTTAGAACCTAAAGAAGAGGGTGTTAGGGATTATACAGATTGCACAACCCATTTAGGATGGTACAGCTTAGTCTCTTACCCAGGGTGGACTGATCTGGGTACCACTTTAGTTCTATCTGTAAGCCTTACCTTTGCTTAAAGGTGGTTTAAGTTGGTATATGGCCACTATTCTTACAGGATACTTTAACAGTCAAGCTGTTGTGTTTTCCACATTTTTGGATATTACAGAAGCATGGTGTTCACTTGTGTTTGACTAGTATAATTATAACAAACACTTTTATAGGCCATGTAGGAAAGAAGAACTCTATGTGCTCCCTTTCATCCTACCCACCCCTGCATATAGACTTGCTGCAATCTGATCTGTGACAGCCAACTTATCTAGCTAAAGAAAGGGTAGTGAAAAAATAATAAAATCACAAACCAAAAATAGTGGAAAATAAGGAGCAATACACATAGATAGGATAAATGAATTAATCCTTTGCAATACTGTTCATCTTAAATCCTGGTACTGGAAAAACTGCACAGATAGCAAAATATTCAAAATATCTGAAATAGTTACCGTCAATATGTTTTGATGTGCTTTATGTACTTGCTGTGACATGGGACAGTAAATGTCAATTATTAAGCTGAATGCTAAATCAATTTTGTGAAAGAAAATATAAGAGGATATTCTAGCTCTGAGGAAGAAGTTGGATTATTTTGTAATTATTTAAATTAAGGGCAAAGTACAAGTTCTAGGAATGATATAAATTTTAGTGAATTTCTTTTTGAGATAGTAAGGAAATATTCTACATATGGATAAGTAAAACAGTATTTGGAAGGCACGGGAAGTATCAAAATGGGCTGTTTTGGGCTATTTAGAGAAGCTGTGTCAGTATACCATTTCATTTACAAAAATTTGAATTGTATTTATTTTTGTTGGGCTCTCACATTTTTATCAAATATTCTATACATGTATATATTATGCACATCTAGAAACAGTATATACATAACCAATGCTACTTTTGACACATTATTATTGCACAATAATATACAGAAAAAATATTGTACTCTTTTTAAATTCACTATAATGGAGTAGAAAATATAATGCTTAAATCACACGAGGGTAAATTCTCAAACTGCTGCTATTAGTTATAAACTACTAAACCAATCATCAACTAGTTTGTAATGGCAAACAGTAGTTACTCACTGTCCTTTGTATTATGGCCTGATCATTTAAAGCTGGAGCAGCCACTCCACCATATTCAAGTCCAATTTGGTACAAAAAGGTCAAGTGTAATTTTATTAACTATTTCTTTAAGAGAGGGCAGAATATACCAACAGAATACAAAATACAGTAAAAAGGCATTACATTATATTACAGAATATATTGACAGCAATTTTCTTTCCCTGTGTCGTTATTTAGATATCTTAATTCAAACCATATGGTTTAAACCCCGTTTCCAGTGAACAGGTTACCCATTAAGCTAGTCTCCAAACAATCAAGTTAGAATAACCACTATGTGGCAGTATCTACATTTAAAAAGTCATGAGAATTAGTGTTAAATAGTTTAAAAGACCCATCTTTCTTTGATATATGCAAGCAGCTTTGCCTTTTATTCTACAGAAACTAACAAATTAGAGCATTTTATTTTTTTCTGAGATGAAAACTATCAGTTTATGAAATATTTGTGCAAGTCCAGTATTATCTCCCTAGATGACAGGAAAGAAAAATATTTCTGAATGGAAAATCTAACCTAATTTTTTCAAGCAAGGAAATGACAATTATTTCTTTGCATTTAATGCAAAGCAAAACTCCATGCATTCCACTGAAATGTTAAAATTAACAACTTAGTCAAACATTCAAATCACTTTAGATAAACCTGATCAATTAATGAGGCAGCCCAAAAGGGTTAATATGCTACACACGAGCAACAGCTTTAACTGCATGTTTCCCCTACTTCCCTATATTAACCTTAAGGAAGATTTGACTAGTTCATATTGTCTGTTATAATTCAGTTTTCTGCATATTCACATATAAAAATAAAAATATTGTAATAAAAGAATACGCAGAATTAAGCAGTTCTGTGTATTTATGTCCAACAAGCTATGATCAAACACTAAATATTTATCTAAAATTCAGGATATTTTATTAAGCTTTAACCTTAGTGCTTTTATTTTATATATATAAAAGCTTCTTTGGCCTGAGCTCTGCTATAAGTAACCCGTGTTATTTTTAGCCAGTACAGGATTTGGAGTATGCCAGGTGATGATTATTTCCCATTACATCATAGTGGCAAGGTCACATCTGACACATTCAGTCAATGTACCTTAAAGCATCTTTTCTTTTCTTTTTTTCCTTTTTTTTTTAAATGAGCAGCAACTAATCAGCTTTAAAGTGAGTTACCTTTGTAATTCCATTTCACACCATACACACACTGAAGTGTAACCAAAAAATGACAAAGCAGCTATCAAAGGTACAGTTCCCAGCCAACATAAGAATCAATGTCTAGATGCAATCTGGACTATATTTTCTCTATCAAATTGGGGCAACCAAAAGAAATGTTCTGACAGGCACATCACTGTCAGAGATTCTTCCTGTTTTTCCAGTGTAAATTCTCACTCCTTCATTTTGCCCGTACATATGGTGATGCCCTACCTTCCTTCCAAATAGCGTATAAATAATTCTATGATATCCTGCCCATTTCCATCTTTCCAACATTTATGGGCAGGCCAAGATGATACAAACTATATTGATACCACTCTTCTATAACTAGCAAGAACCCCTTTCTACACAGGAAATACATTTGTTGTACAACACATAATATGTAGTAGCATTAGAAAGGCACAGCAGGGATTAAATGGATCATAAATCCCTTTAAAAAGAAAATGTTGTTCTGCCTTTTGTGTAGGTATTTGTAATGGTACTTTAGCAATACAACGTGCTAGAAGACCATCACATTATCTTTGGCCTTTCAAATACTCCCTCCCCACTTTACAAAAACAGAACAAAATAAAACAAGTTACAATGCATTCAGAAGTTGCAGGTACGAAAGGTCACATTTAATATACTTATGCACATGGCTTATTGTCTGCTAATTTCACCTATTTTCAACTAGTATTTTACATGTTAAGTGTTAAACAAAGCAAATGTACAAGAACATGCAAAAATAACTTTAAACATGTTTCTTACCTGAAGTGTTGCTACTAATTATACCAACTCCTGAATATTTTTGGCTATTATCTACAGTATCGTAGTTTGTTTTAATATTAATCTTTTCCCTTACATTAAGGTTGTTAGTTTTTCATGTCAGCAACAAGCGTGAATATAAAATTGAACCTTGAGAGTAAACATTATGTTTTTTTTTACTTCTCTAACAATTATAATTTTGCTGAATATGTTAAGTATTTATATAAAGGCCTTACCTATCCACCAACTTTTTAGCAAATCCAAAATCTGTAAGCTTGATATGTCCTTCTTTGTCTAATAATATATTTTCAGGTTTCAAGTCTCTGTAAACAATTTCTTTGGAGTGAAGATATTCTATTGCACAAATAATTTCTGTGGAGTAAAACAGTCCTGTGCTATTGTTGAAACGTCCCATGTTACGTAGGTAACTGAAAAGTTCTCCTCCGGGCACATATTCCATTAACATGTATAAAAAACGTTCATCATGATAAGTCCAAAATCTGTAACAGAAAAGGTTTATTTTTATTATTAATTATTCATTTACTTGTAGAGCAAAATAAATAATATTCTTTAAATGGATGTCTTTTCAGTGGGGTGTGTGTGAGAGAGAGAGAGAGAGATACTGGCCACTGTCAGGCATCCACTTTTCTGATCAGTTAGGACAAATCTGATGTAGTATTCACTGTAATACAGTCAATATGGAAACTAATGCTGTAGATGTAGGAAAAAAAATACGTAAGCATACCCAAACAGAGGAAAGAATATAGTATGCATCAACCACCTTTACACCAAGATTTGCAGCTACTCCAGATATTAAAAATTAAAACTTATTGTCCAACTTATGCAACAGTGACAGTAGATTATTTGTATTAGAGCCTTCAATCTCAACTCAAACCACTGTTACTTGCTTCTGTAACACAATCCATTACATCCTTCCAGACCTATTTTTCTATGAAAGTTCTATTCCCAGATACTGTTTGCTACCTTATTTAATAGAGCAAGTCCACCAACCATTCACTAATGTTCTTCTCATCACTGCTATTTTTCTGAATAGTTTATTTTCCTACCGAATTGCAAGAGTCATTTCTGGCAAGACTGGTTTCATTTTGAGATTGCTCTAATCTGCCTACATCTTGAAATCAAGCCAATGAAAAGCATCTCAAATCCCACAAAGTCTATCATCTTTAAATTGAGAAATACTATATATCTGGTCACTCCACTATACCCATAACTACAACAGCATTCAACACAAACTATGAAACATAAGGAAATACATTCCATTTGATTGAGGTCACAAAAAAGAAGAGGTGATCAAACAAAACAAGCTGTTTTTTAATAAACGCAAGTTCTTTGGAATACAGTCTGTATATTGTAATCGAAGATTCTCTATCGAACACAAATCCAATACCTAGACCATATTAGAAAATGAAGATACAGTACAATCATATTATTAATAAACTACAGTATCAGAAGTAAGTTCATTACAAGAAGATACTTTCCATAATATAGTTAATAAATTTCTTCTATCATCATCATCATCCATATACACTTTCCCCCCCTGCTTTTGGGACAGTTGAATGCAGGAAGTTGTTAAAAACATGGCTTGTTAAAATGGGTTTGCACTGTACATTACTGTCCACCCAGGAGACTGTACGCCAAAGGAGTATACAACCTATGGATGCAGAAGTCAAGTGTTAGAAAAATCTGTATTTGGTGATGAACAGAATGTGTGTTCTAAGCCACTTTCCATTACATAAATGAGGAATCTGAGCTGGCCCCATTGCAATGAGGAGCAGAGAGAAGACACCATTGCCTCAACTAGTTCTCCTGCTGATTTGATACAAGCTGGAAGGAGAGAGAGAGGTAGTTATCTGTGTTACTCTGAAATTAAGCACGTGTTAGGGCAGGGTGGCAGCTTACACCTTAATTTGTTCAGACAGTCATAAGCTTTTGTAGACTAGAACCTTCTTCATCAGATGCTACGAACTTGTAGAGAGCAGGGGAATTAAATAGAAAAAAAAAAACAAAAAACTATTTAAATACAAAGGACATGGGAAAAGGGAGGAAAAGAGATGAGAGGGCTGCGCTGCTTAGAGGTGAAGATGGATTGAAGAGATTCAAAGGGTTAAATACAGCACTTAACCCACTGAGGGACCCAAGTGTTATAAAAACGAGCCCAGGTGAGGGACTGCAGAGAGTCTCTGCTGAGACCTTTAACAAAATCTAGTCTGTGGATGATTTCTTGTTCTGCAATGTTGTATTCAAGCTGGCTTTTAAAAGTTTGCTGCTTAAGAACAGTTACCCTGAGGCTAATGATGTCCAAGAAGTTTAAAATGTGCTGCTCCAGACTTTTGAGTCTTTCTGAAATTGACGTAAAAAAAAAAAAGAAAAAAAAAAAGCTACCATTCATTCTTTCATTGGTATTCAATGGAGATCACAGAGGGATACTGTAAACTGGTGGCGGCACATAAGATGTTGGTAGAGGAGCAGGAAAATGAACTCTGAATGTTATAATCCATGATGGCTGGGCCAATGATGTTGATGGGGGGGGCACCAGTGACAACTGTGTCTGTTGCAAGGATTGGTGGTTTGGTGAGAATAAAAGTTATAAAATTTGTTACTGAAGAAGTGTCATTTGAAGTTTGGAGGGCTGCGCATAATCTGGAGCTGCCTTGAGATGGTCATCATTTTTCTGAAGGGGTTGGAGGTCATTAATGAAGTTTTCAGGCTGGGGGCTCTAGGTGAAAAGAAGGATTCTGTTGTTTTTGTCACAAGGTTGGGTTGTCATAGGTCAGAGTAGGATCTGAGTTTGACAGCTTATTTGAGTAACTATGGCTCTCCCCTTGTCTTTCAATTAATTCAACTAATAAGTCCATCAGCTACTTGATGCAGAAGCCAAGGCAACATGCACTGTTTCTTAGAACAGCATCTGAATCAGATCTTGGACTTGTACCCACTAGTGGGTAAACTTAGAAACCCATAATGTGTTCTTACTAATAAGCAACTAGTTGTTAAATAATTTTAATGGGATGATCAAAGATATGGTTTGATTTTGTTCTTAATTTTTATTAAAAGTCTTGAAGGTTAACTCAGGAAAGACCACTGTATTCCCATGAGATTGTGCTAATATACCAGCTAAAGGTAGCATACAAGATTGCACTGTTCAGCAGTTACGATATTAAAACAAGGTTCACTAAAAATAGCTTACCATGGACACATACAAGAAATCTTGACTACCCAGGAGCAGTGGTTGTCCACCTCATTAGATGCAAAAGTGCCTGCCCCCCTCCAAAAAAAGGCAGTTCTTAGCTTTCCCCCCACTTTTGGGGGGTGGGGGGTGGGAGGGAAGATGGGGGAGGAACAGGAAAAATAACTGAGAACTACTTCTGTTGCAAAGAACTCAGAAAACCAAAATAGGTCAGAATAGTTTTGACACTATGGATTCTTATTTCAAACTTGTGAATCGTGTATATATATTAGGTTTACAAACAGAGCTAATAGTGAGCAGCACCCTTTAAAGGATTTCATGACACTTTAGTGTGCCATGGCATCCTGGTTGGGAATCACTGACCCAGACACAAATAAGTTGGCTTTTCCTTCCATCAGAGACAGAAAGGTATTTTCTAAAATCCAGAAGAGAAAAATAAGAAGGAAATCATTTATAAAATTTAGAGAATGACAGTAAAGGTCTTATATGTGGTTACACAAATAAGCTCTACCAATCATGACCACAGTCAGATATGTCCAGCACAATAATAAGAATTTTTACACAACTGTATACAATAATGTTGTAGCTGTGACTGTACACTGTCAGCTGTCATATTAGAAGAGCAAACACCGGACTAATCAAGATTTGGTCCTATTATGCTAGGCACAGTACAAGCAAGAAAAATGTACAATTAAAATGTACAATTTCATTTTTAATTTAACTTACATCAGCTCCCTAAACATAGATATACCTAACACTAGCATTTCTTGCCTTGCTTTCAAACTTTAGCTGTTTTTCTCCTGCTCTGAGACAGACTAATCTACCTGCTAAAAGCAACAGCAAAGTTTGACATTACCATATGGAGAAGAGAAATACAATAACTCTGACATATTTAATTTCCATCCAGTGTAGAAAGCCCTGGCAATATGCCATTCTAATGAGCTAACCATAATATTTTAAAAGATTTTTTCTCTCCTGCCCTTGGGGAAGCAAGAAATGATGATGATTCTTTCAGCTGGAACACTATGATAAATTATTGGTTCAATATTTAAAATCATGCTCTTTCACTTCAAACATGTGATAGTTTTACAGTAAATATTTTACTGCAAGTCACAATGAGGCCAGCATTTGAAAAAATAAATTACATGCATTTAAGTAACTGCAGGTTCTGCATCCAATTTGGATTTCCTACTGCACTGCTCTCCATTATAGAATCTCAGATCTCCATATCTGTACTTGCATATCTCCATTAATATTACAAGAGATGAAGAATGTCTAGAATCAGTTGAGTGAGGGGGAAACACATGCCATTACAAAGAAGTTTGCTAATTTCAGTGGCATCCACATGTTTATTCACGGGGCAGAGCAGCCAGGCTATGTGATTTAATAAATCTGCATCCAAGTCAAAAAACTATCTGTTACACACTACACACTTGCAATGCTGCATTGAGAATCCATACATCTATTAGGAAAGAAACCAAAATAAATTGGCTTTGAAACATGGCAGATTGAGCTCTAATTTTGTGCTTTATACTGTGCATAGTAAAAACACCTCAAAGGCAGCAGTGCAAATGCCCTCTATCACATTTGGAGGAAGCCACCAGTGAATGTGAATCTATAGTTCCATTCCTATGTCCTTTCAACAGATGACCTTTTTGTTTAAGGCCAACAGCAGTGTCAGCAGTTGTAGCTCTTAATACAGGAACAAATGGACTCATTTCACATAGGAAATGTGAACATTTTACACTGTGAAGAACTTGTATCTTCATAATTTGTTTTAAAAATAACTAATTAACATGTAAATGTAACAAAGCATGGTAACCTCTTTCAAAAGTATTTTATTTAACTTTCTTGCATTTGTTATAGTGTTTTTCTGCAGGTTTTTTGTTTTTGTTTTTAAAAGTAGATGAAAAGAAATCTATCTTCCTTTGGATTTTTAAACAGCAGAGGGCCAAATTCATGTTTTCTTATCAGGAGTTACTTGTTTATTTTAAAACCAAGGAGTTTCAAACAAAGGAGTGTGCAGCTGGATTCTCCAGGATGCCCCAGGTGCCCTGTGCTCTTTGGATGTTGCAAAGTAGCAGTAATCTGAAATTAACTATCTAGTCCATGCAGGTTTACAGCTGCTTTACATCATTAAAGCACCATAGAGCATTTAGGTCATGAACAGACATTAATTTCTGATGGTGGAAATTTTTGAGACATTTCTGTTGGTAGAAGTCCTTCCGGGTGAGGGAGCACTACAGACATTCAGTCTCCAGCCTCCCTTCTCTCCCAAGTTCCTGAAACCAGTGACTCCAGTCTGGAGAAGGCGAGGAGAGAGAAGTGCCTGCTCCTCCCTCTGGTCCCCAGGGGGAAATACAGCAGCAAGAAAAGACTCCCTGCACCTGCCTCAGCAGTGCAGTAGAGGAAGCACTGGGTGAAGCCCTCAGTCCCTACTCCCAGCCAGGCAGAGTCCAGCTTGGAAGAGGCAGGAGACAAGGATGGCTGCTCCTCTCCCCTACTGGATCCAGAGGAAAGAGAAGTACTGGTCATTGCTCCCTACCTCTTTCCCAAACCAGGCAGCACCCAGCTTGGGGCAGGAGTTGGGTGCTTTGCTCCCTTCCCTCTCAGGCCTTTCTGCAAGCTCTCAGGCCTTGCTGCAAGGTAAAGCGGCAGAGCTCCCACCTGCTACTCACACCAGGAACTCCAGTGCAGGAAGCAGGCAGGGTACTTGCAGTGCTGCTCCCTACACTAAGGTCCCAGCTCTGAAATGTAGGACCTAGGAGCAGGGGGGATTTTGCTCCACCACCCCTAGGAGAGCCTCCCTGAGCACAGGTCCCAGCCAGCCTGCTTCCTGTTGCATGCCCCCCTTCAGCTTATTAGCCATTTTTGCTCCAAGAGAAAAATCTTGAATGTTTGCGCACACTTGTGGTTTCTACCAAAATAATGACAATTCTTCCAGGAGAAAATGAACATCTGTACATAGCCTTAACAACATACTGGTAAACATGGCCCTTGGATTTGTCTTAGTCTAAAAATGACACTGAATGGATTGAACACCAAAGAAAAAAAGTGAAGTTTGAAGAAAAACTTACAATCTGATCAGAAATGGGTGATTGACTTCTTTTAAGACTGACTTTTCATTGTGCACATGCTGCTCTTGTTTTAGCCGAATGACATCTGGAATGCTCATTACTTTCAGTGCAAAGTAACGTTTGGCCATTTTTTCTTTCACCAGGTGAACCCGCCCAAAAGTACCCGTGCCTGGAAATTAAAGAACAAGAATGTCAAATGGGCAAATATTTGCTATTAAAAATTATATGAAGAGAGGCAGAAATGCAATAAATTTGTCAACTAATAGCTTGAATAGACATAACCCATTTTACAAATTATCAACATTTTTACTTGTTCCTCAGCCTTAATATTTTTGAAAAATTTTATTAGTTTGATTGAATAGTAACAAAGACAATGAAATGCTGCCCATCTTTACTTTCAGAAAACTTTACTTGTCTTGCAATAAAAATGGGAATAAAAAAAAAAAAGCACTACAATTCTAAAGTGGAAACAACTGCTTATGGAAAAAAGAAATTCTCACCAGATTCAGAAGTAGGGGTAAAATGCAGAAGTAAATATATTTTATGTAAAAGCAACGAGTGGACTATAGTGAAGTCTAGTGCTTAGTACGCAGAAGCCATGAAACTGACTGGAATTTTGTATACCAATATAATCAAAACCAAGCCATTATCTCAAAATATCTCCTTTCCCCCCCCCCCAAAATGGGAAAAAAATACAAATCAGCCAACTAATTTTTGAACTAACACTGGTTCGCTAAGCTTGTTTGAAATGTCAACATGAGGAATATTATTTTAAAGTAAAAGATACCAAAAAATATTTTGCTTTGATTAGTCTATTTTGGTAGACTTATTTTTTAAACTAAGAATTTCAGAAAATGAAATGGTGCATACATAATAAAAAATAAGACAGACTCAAAATACGATTTGCTGAATCCTTTATTATTACAGAAAGCCTTGTTCATATATTCTGGCAATGAAGCTATAGTTTCCATCATATTAAAAATAATATTAAGAAATTACCATAAATAAATAAAACCTAGCAAACCAGTTTATGGAAGCAAAAATGTGTACTACAGGGAAAAATAAAAAACAATGTTCATCTTACCAGTTTAGATATTCAATGGTTAGTGTTGCTTTATCCATATATTGTATAAAAAGGCTAATTTTCAAGGTGACCCATTTTTGCAAAGTTTGTACTAAAAAAATGCTTCATCACTCCAAGAAGCTTTTTTATCACTACCTTTCTTCCATCCAAAACATTTCTGTATAACAACTGTTTATATAATTCTCTTTCTCCCCCTCTCACTCTACTAATATATATATATATATATAGAATAGGTTTTACAAACACTTACACTTGGACAATACATATATAAGCAGCTAATAAAAAAAAAAAAAATGAAAACACAAAGACCCAAAGCACTAGACTACTTACAGGCATTATAGTGCTTGCTTCATATATCTAAATTGTTTCATAAGCCCAGTGCATCTTTTAAGAAAACTGTAGTGATTTGATTGAAGAAAGGTACTGACAAAAAGGGGGGTGTGTGAGTGTGTGAAATGGACCTCAGGTGGTCATCTAGATTAACCCCTGCACAAGGCAGAAGCGTACCCATCTAAACTATTTCATGTAAGTGTTTGTAAAACACTTTAAATGTACCTGAAACCTTGCAAAAAAGAATTTTTCCAATTATTTGAGTTGGACTAATAAAAGATATCAGATTTACCCAAAGAAACTTGTCTGCCTGTGTCCTTAGAGCAACACGGCTACAATCTATACTCCTTAAAACCTTCCAGCGATGGACATGAAGAGCGCATGCCCCCAGCAGCTGCCCGGCACGGCTGCACTGGTGGTGGCAGGAGCGTGGTGGCAGTAAGTGCAAAGCTCTGTAGACACCGCCAGCACTGTCGGCAGCAGGGGGGAGCGGGGGGAGTGGCGAGCGACGACCAGGGGGCAGCGACGACACACAGGCGCCGCCGGCAGTATTGATGGCGGCCAGGGACAATCGTGGACCACTCGCAGACACCCCAGGCGGTGTCGTCGGCGGGGTGGCGAGTGTCAGCGGCGTCTTTTTGCAGGGGATGCCCCACCACGCTCACGGGATGCATGTGCACCTACGTACATCCCCTACATCACTCCTGGTGATAGAAACACTACAGATTCTAGGTAGTCTGTCCAGACTAAATTTAGCCAACATTGGAAAGTTCTTTGTCCAAACTAAAATTTCTTTTGTTGCAGTTTACTCTTTGTCCTGTGCTCTGCAACCACAAGTAGTTTATCACAATCCTTTTTTTAAGCATGCTTAAGCTTTACAATATAATTTCTTTAGGCAGATTTATGTTACCTGTTCACACATTTAAACACCATTAGATACGCTTACATAACAAAGGACCTAAATGAAATAATCCAACAAACTATTGCAACAGATTTATATTCTTTTAAATTCAAAGGTAAAGAGATTTATGAAACAATATTCTGTCAATTGCCAACCTCCCTTTTGATGCACTGCATTTACATTAAAAATGTCTGAAATAACATAAGAAACAAGTTACCAATTTAATGCAATACACCTCATAAAACAAGTAGTGACAAAAATTTATTTTTGCCCCAAACATGCCTCAATGCAGAGAAAGTCTTTACTGACAGTCAGCTGTATTCATTTAAGAATGTATAAGAACTGTATAACATACTATACTCCAAAAAAGGCAAAAGGGCAGATCATGTTAAAAAAAAAAAATGAAGTTCTCTCAGACACACTGCACCAAATTTTAAAATGTCAGATTTTTCCACACAAGCATCTTTACAGAGGCAAAAAAAAAAGAAAAAAAATGTATAGCCCAGGTCTCAATGATCAGTTTTATATGTACAAATTGAAGACAATTGCCTACTAATGCTGCAAGTAGGTGGGAGTTGGCTTTTTGAGAGAAAATTTAGTAGTGTGTGCAATTTAATGACAGCACTGATAAAATACAATACAGACTTCTCCTTTGTACTTCTTCTTGAGTTGGAGGTCCCATTTTATCTCAACATTAAACATGTAGTTTTAATAGTGTGCTTTTACTATGTTCATTTACATGTTAAAATATTTTCTTTTTCATTTAACAGCTCCTCCAAACATATCTGAGAACAATATAAACATGACATTTGTTAAAACAAACAATTTATAAAGCAAACAGCCACTTTGTTTGCTTTAAATTATCTGTAAGAACATAAAGTACAATTCACTAACCCAGTTTATAGAAGCAGCATCTGGGAGTTCAGTTATATTCAGATACAAATTTTAGAAATATGCAGACAAAATTTGTAACAGAGCAAACCCATGAAAACAATTACATTCCTCTAAACAATAAGGTTTTAACAAAGCAGTTTTTGAGTTCATACCTGCCCTAAATTACAGTTCTTTAACTACTAAAATTGTAAACAGGACTCATAGAAGGCTTGCTAACATATTGCAGTACGTCACCAGGTTACCCTGGGAAATTCATCATGTGACTAATCCCTTAACAATGCAGTAACATTATATGACTATACCTGTAAACAACCTTGTTTTCCTGGTGGGCTTAGGCAGTGAGGCACCATTCTCATTCAAACATCCTTATTTCTCGCATGCATTTAAAATTAATAATGCTCTATATATCATTGGTCAGCTGAAATAATAAATAAATTTACTTAAGTGGACTGGAGCTTTTAAAAAGAAGCACTCTATCCTGCAATACAAAATATACCCTGGGAGCTAATCAAGACTATTATATTAGAAGTAGGAACCAAAAGTTACAAGTTACGAATACCAGTGAAGGCACTGAGTTTGTATTTCAGAATTAGGTCACTGATAAAGCTATTAAAAATTAATGCAGGACTGGCATTCACATTTCCAAATGTGGCCTTGAATAAATAAGGGACATCAACACCACAAGTGAATGATGTTTTTATTTGTGTTTAAACAAATAATACTTAAACAAATAATAATATAAATGAATTGTGCGCATTTGTGGACTCATCTAGTTGTGCTCCTTATAGGTACCAATCTCATCTTCCATGAAACTGTCCTACTTAGGGTGCTGAATCTTTACTTTGGAATTTTATTACGATTTTCCATACTACTCCTATCTCAAATCCAAATAAGATGCGAAATCCCAAAAGAATCCTGGACAAGTTCAACAACAGTCTCACTTATGTAATATGGCTTCTGTTTTAAATCCTTTACCAACAATTATAAAGTTTGGCAAGGTTATTCCATACTTGTCGCAAACATCTAGCCTATCAGACCCAGGGAAAAACAGATAGACCCATAAGACAGGCAAGCATGTGCAACTTCCCTAACCAGTTTTCTTGTTTGACAAGTGATATCAAGCAAGGTCTTTTTCATAAAACTAATCCACAGGCTATAGCAAGCAGCTGTGAAGCAAGTAAGCGATAATAATTCTCTCTATGCTAGTATTAAACAAAACAAAATCTCACTTGTTTCTGGAAAGCAGAAATCAATTTTTAGAGTATTAAATTACATCTGGCTAAGTTCAAAGCTTCTTGCAGAAAAATATCAAAAAATCTAGTAAGACAGGCTATAGTAAACAGTGACAACAAAAATAGAGGCATATATAACTCCCAGCATCTGTGTTCAAAACTTTTTCTGAATGCATCAAAACAAAATATCCACCTCTTATAATCTGTAATGAAGACTGAGTTGTACGTATTAGACTTTCCAACCCAATCAGATCCTCTCACTCTATAGAAATCCACAAATAGAAGACTAAGTATTATGAACTCTAAAGTAAATCCCATCTATGTTTCTTCAGTCAAGGCAGATGAAAACAATATGGAGCCAAGGAAGAGGGGTTTATATTACTAATTCATCTCTTCCTAATTAGTATTAATCTATAAGTGACAGAAATACAGTAGAAGTACTGTTTGTGTATATGCTCTTGTACTTATGCATCCTGCCCCATTCCAATATGTATTTTTCCCGCATATATTCAGCATGTCACCAGAAGCAGCTAAGCAGAGATAGATGGACAGGAGTATCTGCTACTGAACCTCAAACTGTTCATACATCTTTTGCTATTGATTCTTTTAATCATTAGAGTATTCCCTTCCCCTTCCCTCCTCCCCTCCCCCCACATTACTTTAAATATAGTCACAACAAAAAAAGCAATTATTTCACCAATACAGAGGAAGGCAAGATTAGAGCTGTA